GGAATTGACTGATGGCAGTGAGTTTGTTTTTATAAAGACTGGTCATTGAAACCACTTAGCAGTACTGCAGAAGGCAGGCCTAAGGATCAGCTTCCATAAAGATTACAGCCAAGAAAACTCTATGGATCACAGTTTTACTCTGTGATGCATGATGTCACGTGAGTCAGAATCAGCTTGACAACAACAGGTTTGATTTTTGTGGTAACACATAGAGAAGGGTCAAAGCTGACTAAGTTAATGGATTTCCTTTCTCTTCTTATTATTTCCTCTTATCTTTCCTAAACCTAGCCTTAGTACTGATGCTATCTATGGAAGTTATCTCAGCAAACAGCTAGACTGATAGTCACAGTGACAAAGAAATGAAAAAGTCCAGGAAATTTCCAGCAGCTATGTTAGAAGGAATGGGAGATGACTGGGGTAAATATAGGTAGTAGGGGAGAGGTCACATGAATATCTTTGTCATCATGACTTTTGTTTATAAGTGACAACAACCCGTTCAAACTAGCTTAAGTAAAATAAAGAATGTATTAGAACGTATTTCAGGATCACACTTAAATATAGGAATAGTAGGAAAGAGAAGGAACCACATCAATTTATGGGCCATTAGGAACTGGAACCAAGATCTTAACCATCACCAGGACTCTTTACAGCTCTTATCTTTGCTTCTCTCTATGGCTGCTTCATTTTTTCTTACTTTGACCTTCTTCTTACAAGTAACAGGAAACATAGCTGCCAACAGCTCATGACCTTCCCTTACCCTACCCTCAAACACTGGAAAGGGGCAGACCTTTTCTCAACTTTAGGGAACAATTCTTATTTTTCCAGATTTGACCCTCATCTGGACCATTCTTTCTGCAATGAAAGAATTGGCAAAGAACAAGGCTCAGGAATTGACGAAATACCCATTGAGATATTTCAACAAACAGATGCCCCATTGGAGGCACTCACTCGGTTATGCCAAGAGATTTGGAAGACAGCCACCTGGCCAACTGACTGGAAGAGATCCATATTTGTACCCATTTCAAAGAAAGGTGATCCCATAGAATGTGGAAATTATAGAACAATATCATTAATATCGCACGCAAGTAAGATCTTACTGAGGATAATTCAACAACGGTTGCAGCAGTATATTGACAAAGAACTTCCAGAGGTGCAAGCTGGATTCAGAAGAGGACGTGGAATAAGGGATATCATAGCTGTTGTCAGATGGATCTTGGCTCAAGCCAAAGAATACCAGAAAGATGTTTACTTGTGTTTTATTGACTATGCAAAGGCATTTGTGTGGATCATGACAATTTATGGATAATTTTGAGAAGAATGGGAATTCCCGAACACTTAATTGTACTCGTGAGGAACCTGGACCTTGACCAGGAGGCTGTTGTTCTAACGGAACAAGGGGACACTACATAGTTTAAAATCAGGAAGGGAGTGTGTCAGGGTTGTATCCTTTCCCCATACTTATTCAATCTATATGCTGAGCAAATAATCCAAGAAGCTGGACTATATGAAGAAAAACGTGGCATCAGAATTGGAGGAAGAATCATTAACAACCTGAGATATGCAGACAATACAACTTTTCTTTGCTGAAAGTGAGGATGACTTGAGGCACCTACTGATGAAGGTTGAAGAATACAGTCTGCAGTATGGATTACGTCTCAATATAAAGAAAACAAAAATCCTCACAATAGGACCAATGAGCAACATCACAATAAATGGGAGAAGTTTGAGGTTGTCAAAGAGTTGACATTGCTTGGTTCTACAATCGATGCCAATGGAAACAGCAGTCAGAACATTAGACAACGTGTAGCATTGGGAAAGTCAACCGCGAAGGAACTGTTTCAAGTGCTGAGGAGCAAGGATCCTTTAGGACTAAGATGCACCTGACAAAAGCCATGATATTTCCAATCGCCTCGTATGCATGTGAGAGCTGGACAATTAATAGGAAGACCGAAGAAGAGTTGATACTTTTGAGTTGTGTTGCTGGCGAAGAATGCTGAAAGTACCATGGACTGCTAAAAGAACTAACAGATCTGTCCTGGAAAAACTGCACCTGAAATGCTCCTTGGAAGCAAGAATGGCCAGACTTCGTCTCACCTATTTTGGTCATGTTGTCAGAAAGGACCATTCCCTGGAGAAGGATGTCATGCTTGGTAGGGTGGAGGGTCAACAAAAGAGGGGGAGGCCTTCAACGAGATGGATTGACATGGTGGCTGCGATGATGGGCTCAAATATAGCAGGGGTCATGGAGCTGGCGCGGAATCAGGCAGTGTTTCGTTCTGCTGTGCATGGGGTCGCTATGAGTCAGAAATTACTCGACGGCACCTAACAATAACAACAACTGGACCAGTTATCTAATTAATTCTGGCTAATGAATTGAGGTCATGGCAATTCCTGCTACAGCTATAGGAAGACAGATCATCTTTGGAGTTTGGAAGGGAATTTGCAATTCATAGGAAAAAAAAAAAGTGTGCCGTATGATGGAAACAAAGGAGCACTCTACATACACATTGAAACCAAACCTATATTTGAGTATGTCCCTGTATCTAGGTATAGGGAGCTCTGGTGACATATAGTGCCTAAGGTATTTGACTGCTAACCAGAAGGCTGGTGGTTCAAACCCACCAGCTACTTCTTGGAAGGAAAACTGGGCAATCTATTTCTGTAGAGATACCGCCTCAGAAACCCAAGGAAGGGTCACTGTGAGTTGTGATCAATTGGACAGCAGTGAGTTTGTTTGTTTTTTTTATAGGAGACTTTAGTTATTACATGTAGCCATCTTCCATTTATTTCTTAAAGATAGAATTATTTATGTTTCTATACTCAGGACTTACCAAAACTGCTACTTTTTATTTAAACAGAAAGTAGTAGTGCTGGAACCTGGACACTCAATGTATTATGGAAAATGTGTGGGATTGATGTCCACATGGATCCTAATATTGGGAAAAGACTTAATGCTCTGGGCAACACCCTTACAACACTGACAGGAGAGGAGGATATAGATGACATTGCTGATCTAAATTCAGTCAACATAGCAGACCTTTCAGATGAAGATGAAGTTGATACTATGTCTCCCACTATCCATACTGTAAGTAAACTTGGAATTTTTCAGGTCTGGGTTTTACTGTGAGACAGGGTTATTATTAATACTTGATGTTATTTACTATATTACAGTTGGTATTTCTGAAGGAAGGCAAAGGAGTGGTGGTAGTGCCCTTTGTTTACATTTCATAATAATTATCTTTTAATTGAGTTCTTTGTGTCATAATGACTGTCAGTCAACTTTGCTCTAGTACTAACATTAAAAGCAAAGTGAATGCAAATCTATAGAGATCGAAAGTAACATGATTGGGGAAAGGCAAGTCATTGCTAATAGGTATGGAATTTTTCTTTAAGGTGATGAAAATAAGTCTAAACTGAGAATGTGGTGATGGTTGCAGAACTTTGTGGATATATGGTATTAAAAGAAACATTGAACTTTACATTTTAAGTAGGTAAATTTTATTATATGTGGGTCATAGCTCTAATGGTGCTTAAAAAATGAAATGTCAAAAAAAGCAAAAAGTGTGCATACCAAATCAAGCGCCCATTTTAAAAATAAGTGTTTACATCTATACATTGTATAATATCAAGTTACTTGTTAATCAAAAAGAAATTTACTCTCTGCCTTCTTTCAGGTATTTTTTAAAATGTAATTAACTATTTTGCCATGAAATCTTGGAAAGAAAGTAAAAAATTAATGTTACTGTTTATCATTTAGAGTTCAGATGGAAGTTCAGTAAGTGGAGATGGCCACAAGCTCACCTTTGGGCAGCGACTTGTAAATCACCTCCTAGGCCTGACGCCCCCAAATCAGCGCTATTCTGTTCCTGCAGAGTATTTATGTGACCCAGAGATGGGCTCCCCTCAGTCTAGCCAGTCCCATTTGAAAGCATGCAGAGCTCACTCATGGGGAAACGTAGGTAGCAACTAAATAAATGCCTTATGAAAATGAAGGGATTTGAATCGTTGGTGAATTCCAATCATCATACTAACTGTAGCTGACTTTGATTCTTGCATGCTTCCTTTGATTTAAGGTGTTAATTTTGTAGTAGTATAGATTTGCTGTATAATGTGAGGGTGGCACTGACATATGCATTTGATTTTTCAGGAAGCTGTAGATTATCGAAGACAAGGAACATCTGGCAGCCAACCAGGAGAACTTAGAGGAAGAAAAATTGTGAAGCGTATAGTAGATATCAGAGAACTAAATGAACAGGCCAAAGTAATAGATGATCTCAAGTATGTATAATTATTTTTAATTTAATATAGTATTCTCTAGTATTAGAATCATAGAATTTTAAAGGTGAAATAAATTACATTTGGGCTAATGCAGTCCCTTTAGTTGGTAAATGAAGTTACCAAAGGCCAGAGACCTTTAGTAACTTACTGTGATCATAAATTTATTAGTGATAAAGTTAGTGACTGGAGTCCTAGTCTGGTACTCTTCACAACTCTCTATTTCTGTGCCATTTATGACTGACTTTATATCATATATATCTTCACATGTGTAGATACACATACACATATCTTCACATGTATGTAGAAATATATGCATTAGTCTTTTATTAGCATTAGTATTTCTATGAAATGTGTAAGAGGAAAACAAATTTAACATTAAGTACCTCCACTGAGTTTGATATATATTATCTCAATTTAATCCTCACAACATCTGTGAGGTTAGATGGCATTATCTAGACTTTATTGATGAGAAAACTGGCTTAGAAAGGATAAAGAATACGAATTTGAACTTGTATGTGTCTGAATTCAGAATACGTGCTTTTGTGCTGACCCATGTTAGCAGTTCTATAGTACTGACATGAGGGTAGTATGAGTCGAGAGGAGAGAGTAGGTGGTAGTAATTTTTTTTTCCATATCCGTTGACTGCTGGATAGTAATGATTAGCTAAATAAATACTTCCTCTTTAAGCCTAAATATTCTTCTTGCCAAGTTTTGAAGTTTTGTGTTTTCTGAAAAGGGATGGTCATGCCTTATCTTTTCTAATCTTCACACATCTGCACCTGTGTTTTTTGCATTCAAGGACTTAACATAAATATATCCGTTTTGCATAATGAGAGGTATTGCCTATAACATAATTACACAGTGATTCACTGTTGACCTGTATTACAGTTTGAATTTTATTCTCAGGGGAAAAAGTGACTTGAAGAAAAATATACTTCTTCCTCCAAAATCTTTACCTGGGGTTTCAATTATATATAGAATTTTGAATATATACATCTTCCTACTGTATGCTCAGGGAGCTCCGGTAGTGTAGTGCCTAAAGCACTTGACTGCTAACCAGAAGGCTGGAGGTTCAAACCCACCAGCCACTCCTCGGAAGGAAGATGGGGCAATCTACTTCCATAGTGATACTGCCTTGGAAACCCAAGGAGGAGTCTGACTCGATGGCACATAATAACAACAACACTGTATGCTCATACTTTTCAATAGATTACCAGAGAGGCCCTTCATGAAGAAATGGGTATGAACTATGTCCTCAACCATTAGATAAATTTTTTTTACCATTTTCCAGAGAGAAGAGTGTTAGCTGTATGAAGGGTTTTAGCCTGTGCATACTAATCTTTGATATTCTGATGAGTAAAATAATTAAAAAGAACCAAGTAAAAAGAAATCTTCCTCTGTTACTTCTTAACACTGATTTCCATATTTGTTTTGTAACCAGAAAATTGGGTGCAAGTGAAGGCACCATAAACCAGGAAATTCAACGTTATCAGCAGTTAGAATCTGTTGCTGTGAATGACATTCGAAGAGATGTCCGGAAGAAGTTACGGAGATCCAGTATGCGAGTGCGTAATTGCTGAAGAAGAGTTTTATTAAACTGGATTATTTTTATTTTTTTTTTTACTTACCTTTGGCACAGTGGTTAAGGCATTTGGCAGTTTGAACCCACCAGCTGCCTTGCGGGAGAAAGATGGGGTAGTCTGCTTCAGTAAAGATACACCATTTTGGAAACCCTATGGGGCAGTTCTACTCTGTCCTACAGAGTTTTATGAGTTGAAATCAATTCATTGGCAATGTAGTGGGGATGATACTTACGTTCTCTATGTTATTCCAATGCTGGAAGTACTAGCTGATTTGTAAATATCAAAGCTACTATGTACAAGGCACTGTTTGGAGCATTTTACTTACTGAAAACAAATCTAGTCCAGTTGATTCCAGCTCATAGTGACCCTTATGTGTGCCAGAACTGTACTCAGTGGAGTTTTTAATGCTGTCATCTTATGAGAGTAGATGGCCAGGCCTATCTTCTATGGCACTGGAAACCTTATGGATAGTAGCTGAGCACAAACCCACTTGTGCCACTCAAGAACATTACTTTACATATAACAACCTGTTAAATCTGTAAATAACCCTACAAGGTGCATCTTATTATTCCATCCCCATCTTAAAGGCATGAAACTGAGGCACAGAGAGGTTAAGTAATTTGGCCAAGGTTAAATAGGCAGTAATCTTGTTGAAGCCAGGATTCAAACCCAGGCAGTGAGACTTTATAGTCTAGGCTTTTAACCACCATGTTTAGCTGTCTTTCAGAAGTCATACTTGCTTTTTTAGTCTTTAACTCAAACATGAATTCTGAAAATCTCCATTGTTCCCCTATACTATTCTCCATGGCCAGATTTTACCTCTCAGCCACTGTGCACTCTCAGCTCTTTGTTCTTATCTTTATTATTTTCAGATTTAGTTGTTCCCACTAGAGTTTGAATCTCTTGAAGAACAAATTATATATCTTTGATTCCACTTCTACCCTGTTTCCTGGTACAATTGGGATAAATGCATAGTAGAAAATAATTGTAAAACTTATTCAAATGGAGATAGGTTGCTTTCTGTGAAGATGATCTTGTTAGTGGAAAAGTTGTACTTTTTTTGATAAAAATAAGTGGGTTTTAAACTTTTCTTTTTTAAAATCAGCTGTAACTCTCCTTTTTCCCCCAGAATGAGGTATTTGAGTGGTGCCCCTGTGTATGAAGCATATTAAATTAGTGCTGATAGGGATCAAATGAAGGAGAATAGGCTGCAAGGGCTTCTGAGGCCATTGGTTTGACTTTTCCTTGATTGCCTCCAAAATCCCAGAGAATGCAGTTTGAATAATGTTAAAAATTATTAAAGGTAAAGTTCAGTTTGATTCATTCATCACTGGCCTCTGATAGTAGAAAGTAAATAATGATGATCTGTGATGTATAGTTCTGTATTTCAAGTTTTTCCACTTATCTACCTTAAAATCATACTGTGTAATTAAAACAGTGTTTGTGTGCTGTGTGTATAAGTAGCTCTGATGGTGTAGTGGTTAAGGCATTTGGCTGGTAACCAAAATGTTGGTGGTTCAAACCCACCAGCCACTCCGTGAAAGAAAGATGAAGAAATGTGCATCCATAAATATTTACAGCCTTGGAAACCCCCAATGGGAGTCACTGTGAGTTGGAATTGACTTGGTAGAAGTGAGCTTGAATTTTGAGCAGTTTATACTTGGAATAAAACTAGGTAGAGAGGATTAGGAAAGCTGTTGACATTACATCTGAGTTCTTAATACTTGTTTCATTTAACTTTTTCCCTTCGATTACCTTTACACCTTTCTTTTCTTCCACATTTCCACTGTATGAGAAGCTTCTTAACATCTAGCCTCCCCCATACCAAAATTTGGAGAAGAGGAATTTGGAGACAGGGAGAGTATTCAAGTCACCTCTTCCTTACCTGTACTATAATAAAGAGTTCTGTGGCAGGGGTGCCCCAGGGTCATACTTAAGATGGTTTAAGGTGACTTCTCTCCCACCAGCAGCCTCTCACTCTCTTTTTTTCTCCACAACTCTCTCCTTTACTTTTAACTCTCATTTCCTCTCTATGTTCTTTTCTTTTTCATCTTTCCTTTCTTTGCACCTTGTTTATGCCCCCAGCCCCCAAGCTTTTTCTTTTCTCCTATTCTCTGTTCTGTCAGGCCAGCTGGTGGCCCATATTTTCATTGTACAGCACTCCTAATTGACTTGAGACATAACTGATTCCTGCTCTACTTTGATACACCTATATTGTTAAGTGACTTTTAAAGTCACAATTTGAAGTAAATTGTTATTGACCTAGGGAAAACAAACTAACTTGTTTAGTAGTAGAATGTTTTCTTTTATAAGAGTCAAATATTACAATGATAAATAATTGCTTAAAGTCATCCTCTTTCCCTTCCAATTCATTAGGCTGCTTCCCTAAAGGATAAGTGGGGCTTGGGTTACAAACCAAGTTACAGTCGATCAAAAAGCATTTCTGCTTCTGGAAGACCACCTCTTAAGCGAATGGAAAGGGCAAGGTAATACAGATTTCAGCCAATGAAACAAGAAACAAAATTGCATACTCCTTTATCAGCATCCACCACCCATTTATTATGGTCTAATTGGGAAAATTATAACATTAAAGTGACAAAAATGGACAATATTAATCAAATACCCAATTGTGCTAGGTACTATCAAACTAAGAATTTTATTTGAGAAATTTGTATATTACATTTATAGTACATGTGTGCTTTTAGTAATGAAGTATAGTGATGTTTAGAAAAGTTTTATATGTAAACTTATAGACTACCTAAAGAAATTAAAATGTGCTTAACTAGTAGCTGCTGTTCTTTATCAGTGAGAAAAGATGTGAATACACACACACACACATTTAATATATGATAAAAATGTAAATTTTACAAATTATTGCAGTAAAATGCTGTTTTACTAATAAATCCACAGGATACATTAAGAAGTACAAGTTCTTTTTTTATATGGCTTAATTTTGAAAAGTCTTATGTCAGTCAAAACACTTAAGTCTTTTTATATGGGATGCTAAAGTTTAGGAAATGCAATTCCAAAAGTTAAATCCTTGGAAAGATAAATATTTAGAAACAGAATGTTAATGTCATTAATCAGACTTTTATGAAGTCTAGGAATAGTCTTTTTAAATCTATAATGTTAACATTTCATAACTTTGTATTTTACTTACAGTTCTCGAGTAGGAGAAAGCGAGGAACTCCCAGAAATCCGAGTGGATGCAGCATCTCCTGGCCCCAGAGTAACTTTCAATATCCAGGATACAGTAAGAGAGATATTATTCGTCACAGATACAAACTGCCAAATAGTGTTTAGTAATTATGAAATTCCAAGCTGTGTTTCATTCTGTTGTACATAGGGTCACTATGAGTCAGAGCCAACTTGACAGCACCTAACAACAACAATTACGAAACTATAGTAAATACAATTTAAAAGTACTAATTCCTGCCTAAAATGAAGTTTGGATTGTGATGGTTGAAGTGTCTGCACATTACCAACTTAGTGGGGCACTACCCACATGCCATCATTTGAGAGCCATGCTGCAGATGTTTGTGTCTTACGTATAGAAATATTTTTATTGACTACCTTTTCCTTCAAGTAAGAATCCACATTAAACTAGGTCTTGCACATAAAGGTATACATGTAATATGAAAATAATATTAGTATTTACTTGTATTTTTATTTGGAAAGAAAAAATAAAGTAAGGAGGTTAGATTTAAAGTTGTATTCTAATTTCATAGGATATTAAAGTATTTATTTGCTTTTTATTTCTTTATTTTGGAATTGTTTTTCTTTATTCATGAGTTTTGTTTTTGTTTTTTAATTAAGTTCAAAAACACAGTGTGGGGAAGTACACCACAATCCAGCTGTCCTGGGGAAGGGTATTTTCAGGTACTTTTTAAGAACAACATACGTTTTGCTTTAAAACTGATTAACTGACCTAAAAATCTGCTTTGAAGATGTCTTCCTCTCATTTCAAGCTAAACTCAGAGGTCAAGAATATTTTACATGATATTTTTAAAGTAAAAGGCTTAAGATTGTTTAAATTCTTTTCATCATGTATATTTTGTAAACCCCTGCATGCATACATTTTAGTTCTGTACATCTGCATCATTTAATATTAATTATTTTAATATTTAAAATGTATAGCAGTAGATATTAGCTCACCAAATCATAAACCAACAAGTGAATTTATTGTAGTTACTTGTTGAATCCCTAAATAAATCTCTTTTTTCACTACTTTCAACTACAAAATGAATCTCTTCCTTGTAAAACCAAAGATTAGTAAAGTAGTTCATACTAGTTGCTGTTCTAACTCAGAGCAACAAATTAATCATTGAATGTTATTGCCCTTGAGTTACTGGTATAAAAGAGTGTGTAAAAAAGCAAACCATTTAAAAAATTATTCTGATCTTCAAAATAGTGTGGAAAATGTGCTACCTGATCACTCACAAATTAACTAACATTTTTATAAAATACTTTCCCTAAATCTGAGTTATAAAAGTAAAAATGAATTTATATATATATATATATATATATATATATATGTATAATTTTTCTGTCAAGTTACATTAAAAAGAAAAAAAAACTGGCACTTATTCCACATATATTTTGCTTTCCTTCCTTTACTCTTTCAAACTAGAATCTTAATATATATCCTCTAAAAGCAAAACAAACCCACGGCCATTGAGTCGATTCAGACTCAGGGTAATCCTATAGGACAGAGTAGAATTACCCCAAAGAGTATGCAAGGTATAAATCTTTATAGAAGGAAACTACCTCATCTTATTCTCACAGGAATGGCTGGTGGGTTCAAACCGCTGACCTTTTGGTTAGTGGCCCAATGCCTTAACCACTGTGCCACCAGAGTTCTTATATATCTGGTAGTCACACTGAATTTTGTTATGGAACTGTTAAATTATATTACATAGTGAGCTTGACAAACAACCTTTCTCTGAAAAATACCTTGGAAATAAATCGTTTACAGTAAGTTGAATGAAATCTACCTAAGTAAATAATTTTTAATATTTGAGTTGATGTAAGTCCTATGTTTTAAATAGCACTGTATCCTGCTTTTAAAAAAAATGATGTGTAAAAGGCATAAATAGATCATTTATCTATATAAACTCATACTGTGAGTTTTGAAAATTGAAGATGTTCTGAAAAATAAAATCTAATTTACACTTACTCAATAATATGTATATGTGAAGAACAGCTGGATTCTGTGAATGTTTTAAATTTGGATTGTAGGATGTCGCTAAGTGTCTAATAGTAGTATCCAATAGTTTTAACTAATTGCATTACCTAGCAGATTGCACTTTACAAAAGGTTATCACATTTTCAAACAATAATAACCAAATCTGTAAAATTGGGAATAGAAATTAAGTCACAGGAAGTTTTGTTTTGTTTTTGGCCTACTTAAATATGTCTCCCAGTGCAAATCTGAGTTAGTGACATGGTGAGTATACGTACACTGTTTGCCTTAAAATACAATTTTAAGTTAGATCAATTGCTACATGTTTAATTACTCAACTATTTATGCATCTCTTTTTAACCCTGCAAGGGTTATTTTTTAGATACATCCTCAAAAACCATCCACGAGCATCATGAGATGACAACACACTCTACTGACACTGCATGACTTTTCATCACTAATTACTCTTGCCATTCTGATTTATAATCACATTGTTTTCTTTGTTTCCACAGCATGTTTAACTAATTAATAAGATCATACATGTTTATCTAAAGTAAAATTTCACTCTTGATTTTTAGTGTCAGTGGTGTGACTTTCTGTGGTTTGATCTACTTCCTTTCTTGGTGTGCTGTTCTATGCAATCCTAAATCTGACCTTTCTTTCAGTTCAGACAGAGGAAATTCAACTCTCAGAGCATTTTCAAATGTTTAACTTTATATATTTTTTCCTTTTTTTTTTTTTAATTGAGAAGGAACTTGTAATATGGACCTGAATGATGTTTTCTCTTTTTTTACAATCAGTTTCCAGAAGAGACAGAACTGGACCTTTTGTCAGTAACCATTGATGGTCCATGCCATTACTCATCTAATAGTGAAGGGTCCTGTACTGTGTTCAGTTCTCCCAAAACTCCAGGAGGCTTTTCACCAAGTATTCCTTTCCAACCTGAAGAGGGCCGACGAGATGACAGTTTGTCTTCTACCAGTGAAGACTCTGATAAGGATGAAAAGGAAGAAGACCATGAGAGGGAAAGGTTTTATATATACAGAAAACCGTCGTGAGTAGCCTTTTTGTTTTAAGACCTTAGGTAGTATTTCAGAATATAGAACTTAAGCCTAACATGTAATATATGACTGTTAATTTTTATAAAAAATAATCTTAATGTGCCTAGCCTGGGTGAGGTTAAGAGTTGTATTCATGGTTTATTAATGTAATTTAACTCACCAAAACCAAACAAAACTCACTGCCCTCTTGTCAGATACAACTCATAGCGACCCCCCCTTGGGTTTCTGAGGCGGTATCACTACAGAAGTAGATTGCCCAACATTCCTTCCGAGGAGTGGCTGGTGGGTTTGAACCACCAGCCTTCTGGTTAGTGGTCAGATTCCTTAGGCACTACGCTACCAGACCTCCTTAACTTAGCTCAACATGGTATTATTTTTCTTTCTTTCCCTGTCCTGCTTTTAATAAATCTGGGAACTATTTAAATTTACAATTTGGAAAAGGAAATCTCCTTCAAATTATAGAATATAATTAATGTACTGCCAGTCAAACTCTAAGAGCAGTGATTGTGCCTGTGTTCAGCACCTAACATATTCCTTGGCACATAGTAGTTACTTAATACATACATAACTGTTGCATACAATGTGAATCCACTAAACAGGAGAAAACTCAATTGTTATGAGCTAAGTGAGTAAATTTTGTGAATTTATAAAACAGTAAAATTTATTTACAGACTATTATTGCTTATTATAATATCTTAGAAAATGATTTTTTTAAATGTTTTTCCATTTTACTACAATGTAATAATCAATTCTTTCTTTAGACATACGTCTCGTAAAAAAGCAACAGGCTTTGCTGCTGTTCATCAGCTATTTACTGAACGCTGGCCAACAGCCCCAGTCAACCGAAGTCTCAGTGGTACAGCTACAGAAAGAAATATTGACTTTGAACTTGATATACGGGTTGAAATCGATAGCGGAAAATGTGTACTCCATCCAACCACCCTTCTACAAGAACATGATGATATAAGCTTGAGAAGGTAAGAAATAGGTTGAAAAAGAATAGAAGTAACTTCATCTAGAAAGTATTCATTGGAAATACTAAGTTACAACAAGCTTTTTTTCTCAGATCCCAAGTAAATGAAATGGCTGAATGGTTATTTTCAGAGCATAGAATTTCTTTAAATAAGTATATAATATTATCTGGCAACTAGAAGTGGTTGTCTGATTTAAAGTCTGGCAAATCTGTTAATTAAAATAGTTATATCTTTGAAATTTTCCTTTAACGTAAGCATGAGTTTTTCAGTTAGTACTCATTTATTTTATTGTGCTTTGGATGCAGATTTACAGAGCAAAATTTGTTTTACATTCAACAGTTTATGTACATTTGATTTCACACCCCTATTACCATTCCCAACCATAACCCACTCTCCTCCCCTCCCTTCCCTGTGACCCCCCTCCCTGTGACACCCGCCCTCCCCATGCCCTTCTTTACTATACACTGTCTGAGCAGCCTTCCCTCCATGTGAATGCTGCCCCTCTGGTGCCCCGTGGCCAATTGCTCCACGGGGTATATCTCCATTGAGTACGTGGGTGCATCTCCCTGGGTTGAGTGTTCTGCATGTAAGTGTTTCTGCTGTTGGGCTGAGAGCCAATCCGTGGGAGTGAGTCCTATCCCAAGCCCAAAGGATATTCCAGGGCCATAGTCTTGGGGGTCCTACCAGACTCCATCCAACCAGTAATTCTGGTCATTATTGTTTTCGAATTTTGTTCCATATTTTTCCCCCCACTCTATCCCAGATCTCCAGTTTTGATCCCTTCCCTAGTGGTTGGCATTGGTAGCCAGGCACCATCTGATTCTTCTGGTCCTTGAGGTTCATCATATTACTTATTTATTTATAAGTAACTATTTAGATTTTAACTGTTTTTGTTGTTATGTGCTGTCGAGTCAGACCTGACTCATAGCAACCCCTCCTTGGGTTTCTGAGGTGGTATCACTACAGAAGTAAATTGCCCAACCTTCCTTCCAAGGAGTGGCGGGTGGGTTTGAACTGCCAGCCTTCTGGTTAGCAGTCAAGTTATTGGATTTTGATAAGTTCATAAAACAATAAAAAGGATTAGGAAACAGTCTCAACTGAGAGGCGTCAGTAGTCTGGAATGTTGTCAGGATAGAACTGCAGCTTTATCATTTGTTTCTACTGTTAACTAAATAGTATAGTAACCAGGATTAACAGGAGATTAATTTTTCTTTGAATTCATTTTGATTTTCTTTCCTAATCTAAAAAAAGAAAGTAAAAAGTAAAAATAATAGCAGTAATTGAGTAGATGGGTAGGAGTAGGGTGGGTGGAGTTATGGATAAAACAAGAATGGCAAAATGCTGACAGTTATTGAAATGGGTTATGTGGGGATCTATTAACCATTCTTTTTATTTTGTATATGTTTGAAGTTTTCTGTAAAGGTTATATAAATGGTCTGTTTGTCTAATGAGGCATTTATAAAATGAGAGAGCAGATAAAAAGACTCTTTTAACTATGTTAAAATCTCTTGCAAATTAATGATGATAAAAGGAATGTTAACTTACCATAATGTACTTCATATTTTAGGTTAAATGGTAATAAATTGCTGATGTCGGTTCAACCTAATATGACAAAGTATTCAAGTAAAACAATCATGACCTTAGGAAAGAATAAAGGAAACTATCCCATATAGTTACAGGCCTACAATATTAACAACATTAGTGCAAGGATCACCAGACCAGAGTGATAAGCTTTACTTTTCATCTTTATCAGCTAAGGACTACATTCCATTTGCTGTATAAGTAAAGAAAATAAAAGGAGGTAAATGTTTCCTTTTTTATAGTGATAAAACATTTTTTTCTGTTTATAGGAGTTATGATCGAAGTTCCAGGAGCTTAGATCAAGATTCTCCTTCTAAAAAGAAGAAGTTTCAAACTAATTATGCTTCTACGACCCATTTAATGACTGGCAAAAAAGTGCCATCTTCTCTACAGACAAAGCCTAGTGACTTGGAAACAACAGTATTTTACATTCCTGGTGTTGATGTAAAGGTAAAAAATAAAAAACCTAATATTTTAGGATAAGGGATTAGATTATTAATAACATTGTTACTTTCTGTCATATATTCTTCCTTTGCTCATTACATTAAAAATGGGACTTTCTTTACTAATAGAGCCATATTTTTAACATAAGAATATCCAAATTGTAGGCTGTCATTTCTCTTACACCACTTTTTCCATGAAAGTTGGACAGAAAAAATTAAAAACAAAGGATAATTCAAAGGATTTACTGTATAGTTGTAGGTGCTCCTGCTTCACACCCTGCCCTACAAACCTTTGAAATATCTTAGGTTCTAAAGGAAACTTAGAATCATATGGCTGTTTTTCCTATTATACATTGATATTTATTATTAACATACTTATTAAATCTTATCTAGTGTCACTTCATTAAGTAGCTTGTTTTTTTAGATTATAAAATTATAGGATCCTAGAATGCTAAGTTGGAAAGTACTTTACCTAAGATGACCTTTTCAATTTTAAAAATGAAATGGCGTAAAGTAACCTGCTAGAATTACAAAACTAACTTGAAAGATCTAGAACTGGCTCTTCTAACACTGGACCAGTATTCTTTCTACTACATCGGTCTATGTTTCTTGGTATTCCTCAGCTGGATAATTTTAACTTTGAAAGTTTATTTGTTCCAATACAGTTACATTACAATTCTAAGACTCTAAAGACTGAATCACCTAATGCATCCAGAGGATCTTCCTTGCCCAGAACACTCTCAAAAGAATCCAAGCTGTATGGTATGAAAGATAGTGCAACATCTCCTCCTTCTCCTCCTTTACCTTGCACTGTCCACAGCAAGACTAACACCTTACTTCCTCCCCAACCCCCACCTATTCCTTCAGGTATTTAAGGAGAATATACTCTCTTTTTTGTTGTTATTTCTTTTCATAACAATTTTTAGTTACCACCTACTTGCTCTATGGATATTTCCTTTAAAAATTACATGTTTAAGAAAAACGGACATAGATTTGTTAATAATAACTATGCAGAGGTCATATATGGAAGTGTTAGCCATTTCCTTTTAGTTATTTTTCAAATTAATACTTCAGAATATTAGTTAACATAAACTTAATATACTAACTAGTTTACTTAATTAAATATTTAGGTCTAAATATTTGGAAAAGGATAGTTTTATGTATTCAGATTTGGAGCTTATGATCTAGATGGAGATACCAAATTTAAATCTTTAAGACAGAGTACATTGGGATTAACCATATCTAATAGGAGCTCTGGTAGCATAGTGCCTAAGGCACTTGACTGCTCACCAGAAGGCTGGAGGTTCAAACCCACCAGCCACTCCTCGGAAGGAAGGTTGGGCAATCCTACTTCCGTAAGTGATACTGCCTCAGAAACCCAAGGAGGGGTCGCTATGAGTTGGGGCCGACTCGACGGCAAACAACAACAACAACATTGATTATCAAGGAGCACTGGTAGCATAGTGCCAAAGACATTTGACTGCTAACTAGAAGCCTGGAAGTTCAAACCTACCAGCCACTCCTTGGAAGGAAGGTTGGGCAATCTACTTCCATAGTGATACTGCCTCAGAAACCCAAGGAGGGGTTGCTATGAGTCGGGTTCGACTCGATGGCAGTGAGTTTAGTTTTGTGGTTTTTTATTGATTATCACTTGCTGCATAACAAATTACTTCAAAATTTAGTGGTTTTTAACCATAATCCCAGTTTTTGTAATTCAAAATTCAGGAACAGTTTGGCTAGGTGAATCTGGCTCAGGGTCTTTCACGATTTTGCAGTCAAGATGTTGGGCAGGGCTGAAGTGATATGAGCACTTGACTAGAGCTGAAAAATTGTGTCTAGAATGTCCCAATCACATGACTAGCAAGCCAGTTCCTCCCCATGTAGGTCTTTCTACAGGGCTGCATGAGTGTTCTTACCTGACTTTCCTCCCAAGAAATAACCCAAGAAAGAACAAGGCAGAAGCTACAATATCTTTTATGATTTAGCCTCAAAAGTCACATACCACTGCTTCCACAGTATCAGATAGGTCACCTATTCACTGGGGAAGAGAACTACATAAAGGCATGAATACCAAAAGGCAAGGGTCATTGGGAGCTACCCTGGATGGCTACCACACCACATAATAATACCTTACACATGTGGTTGAACATATGGTGAAAAAAGAGAAATGATCAGAGTGGACAAGTGGAACTTGATAGATCTTTTAAAGTTGATGGTAATCTTATAATAATGCCTAATGTTTTTTGTGTCACTTTTCAATTCACAAGTCACATCTACATCTATTTAGTACACAATAGATATTATTATCCCCATTTTATAAATGAGGGGAGGTAAGACCCAGAGCAGTTGAATGTCTTTCCCAGGTTTACACAATTAATAAATGTGGGCACTGGAAACCTAAGCCAAAAGTAACTATTAGCTATTCAGAATTAACTTAGCTATTCTACTAATTCTAGTGAAGTGGAGATAGGTAGAAGGAGAGATGGCAGCTGAGGTAGGGATGATTATAAATATGTACAAAGTAAGAGCAGCAAGGTGATAGGAAAGCCTGAAAACAATGACTTTTTCCTCATTTGCTACTAAACATTGTTAGCCAGAGTTTTCTATCTTACATCTGAAGTAGGCAAAAAGAACTAACGCTAATGAGAGACTTTACAAGTATGAAGTTGAGAAATTGGACTAAAATTTATGAACTAGAGCAAGTAGGAATAAGTATTGTACTAAACATCATTAGTCATCTTTGTACTCTAACATTAATGTATCATTTCTATCATCCTGCTATTTTTATTGCTTTTTTGTATGGTCTTAAGTATAATGTGCTTCACCTGATTAAGCTGTCTTATCATTCTAATTTCCCTCAAAATTATCTTCTTTCATGTTATTGGACCTATTTACTAAATTCCCTTAAATGTATCTCACATTTACAAATGTTCTAGCCAAAGGAAAAGGAAGTGGAGGAGTGAAAACAGCCAAATTATATGCCTGGGTAGCACTTCAGTCATTGCCAGAAGAAATGGTTATTAGTCCCTGCCTGTTAGACTTTCTGGAAAAAGCACTGGAAACTATTCCAATTACACCAATTGAGAGGAATTATACAAGTAAGCATTTTCCTTATATACATATTCCCCCCATGACATATATCTTGGATCCCTTTATTTAGAAAATTTCTTAATACTGTGATACTTTTATATATTAAATGATAAATATAAAAGAATTCTAGAACTGAAAAAGAACTTGAGAGATCATCTAGTCCTTAAAATGAGAAAACTAAGTCTTTGTGAAATTAAGGAGCTCTGGTGGCACAGTGCCTAAAGCATTTGATTGCTAACCAGAAGGTTGGTGGTTCAAAACCACCAGCCACTCCATGGAAGGAAGACTGGGCAATCTACTTCCATAAAGATTTACCGCCTTGGAAACCCAAAGTGGGGGTCACTGTGAGTTTGTAATCAACTTGATGGCTGTGAGTTTGTTTGTTTTTTTTTGCTTTCGTGAAATTACATTATTTGTCCAAGGCCCCATCCAGGTGTTAACAAAATTAACATGTCCTCATTGCCAGCATTTTGCTATGTCTGTTACTGTAGGTCTGGGCTCAGTTGGAAAAAAAAAAAAAAAAAGCTTGGTTTAGGAACTGAGGCACTACATGACATGGTCAGAAGTCCCTAGATCAGGGGTAAGATTTAGAGTCCAAATGATGTTGGGAAGAGGAGGTTATATAATGATGAGGGGTTCTTGAAACTAAAATTCATTTGGAAAAGACATGCTCCTTTTCTTGGTTTCCTTAGGTCCTACATTAGTGTCTCTCTTGGACCGGAATCTCCCTAAGGGCAAGGACATTAGTGCTTACTTTCTTTGTACAGTATGTGGCATAGTGCAGGGGAATTTGAGTTTGGGAGAATGAGCAAAAACTTTGAATAGAAAAAGATGTGTAGAATGTTAGGATGTAGAAACAAATGTATCTGGATGTTCATATCTCTGATCTCTGTAATAACATGGGAGAAAAAAATTATTTTAATGAGTAGTTTCCCCTTGTCCTAATGAAACTTCAATATTTTAACAGCTGTCAGCTCACAAGATGAAGATATGGGACATTTTGAAATACCCGATCCTATGGAAGAATCAACAACATCATTAGTATCATCTTCAACATCTGCTTACTCTTCCTTCCCTGTAGATGTTGTGGTTTATGTACGAGTTCAGGTGATATACTTCATCTAGTCCTTTTTACTTTCAAGAAAAAGTAAAGTAAAAGTCATTCTTTAGTTTACTTGAACATTTTCAACAGTATTTAAACTTCTTTTTAACCCTGGGTTCCTATATATTTTAGATATTTGTGACTTAGAGGTTGCCTGAACCTCTGGAAACTAAATATAAAATTTTGTATATATGTTTATTTTTCTGTTGAGAAGGTTCATAGATCTTGGAGCTTTTTAAAATTTAGATCTCAAACTTTGGTGGTGAAAATAAAAATATGTAAGACCTTTTTAAAAAATATTTTGCTTTTTTTAGTGTAGCACCTTTATTTCTTGACATTGTGGTAAGTTCTGGGCAGAGGCAATATGTAATTGAGATATAATATCACAATACTACCTTTGTTGGAATTATCCCTAAGACATGTAATATTTAATTTCATCTTTCATTCTAAAATACAATTCTATCAGTAGGCTTTTGGGAGCATATACTAGAGTCCAATTGAGGCCGTTTATTAAGGAGATTTTGGTCACTACTTGTCTCTATACTTCTTAGTTCAGTTTATCCTTTATTAAAGTTTTATAATCTCAAAGATAAAAGAGGCATTAATGGTCACTTAAGACCAACTTCAGTCTGGTCTTCTGGAGTTTTGTACTGTATTTTTTGAAAGTCTGATGAAAACATAATTTCTGAGAGCTTGATGGTTTATGAAACCCTTGTCATTATTAAAACGATCTTTTTCAATTTAAATATAAGGGAAATTACTTCCTTTAAAAAAAAAAAAAAAAGACTTGGTTATATGCAAGTATGAGTATAAATATTTTTAAAATGCTAAAATATCTAAATGTCTAAATATCACACGGAAAAGACCTCTCAAAAATACCATTTTATTAGTACATTATGGTTCATGTATCGTTTATCAATTTGAAAAAAACTAGGACATTAAACACAGAACACTCTTAAATGTCAAGTAAACAGTGGACTGAAATGGATATTAAATGTAGCTTTTGGAATCCAATATGGATTTTTGTAACCATCCAATTCATAGAAACCTTTTTTTTTTTTTGTCTCTTACTCTTTTTTAGCCCTCACAGATCAAGTTTAGTTGTTTGCCAGTATCAAGAGTGGAATGCATGCTAAAGCTGCCATCCCTGGACTTGGTGTTTTCTTCAAACCGAGGAGAACTGGAGACTTTAGGGACTACATATCCTACTGAGACTTTATCTCCTGGAAGTAATGCTCCTCAGAGTGCAACAAAGACCTCTGCAAACAAGACTGGAACACCAGGTATAGAAACATTTATTCCTCTGGTATAAAACCAGATACTATTTTTGTATAAATATTGTTTTAACAGTACTTAATAGACATTGAAAAAAAAAAAACCTATAGTAAACCAAAGTTTCAGTATTTCATGCATTACTAGATACTGACTACCCTTTAGTTTGTATATTTAAATAAAGGACAGTTGGGTAGCATTTAGTTGTTGGCTTGAGTATGTATACTACAAACACTGTGAAGTAACTGTCATATGATATACCCATGTTCAAATACTCATGAATTTTTTCTTTATGCTGTTGTTTTATGCTAGATTTTACATTTAAGAGTAATTAGTGTTGCAAATGAAAAAGGCATAGTGTTGTTTGGCACTGATTCCTTACAAAATAGAATTAAGTTGTTTCAAATAATATGTATATTTTTAAAAAAAGAGACGAGATTGAATGAAAATTGATAAGAAAATTGGTGTATCATTAAAACATTGGTTGTTAACCAGGGGGCAATCTGAATTCAGGGAATATTTGGCAAAGGAGGGAGACGATTTTGATTGTCATACCTAAGGGAGTATAGCTGGCTTCTAGTGGGGAAGCCAGGAATGCTGCTAAATCTGCTACAGTGCACATGACCCCCACACTCTGAAACAAAGAGCTATCTGATCCAGAATGTTAGTATACCCACTCCTCACTTAACAACATGCTTAAGTTCCAAAGACCAGGTTGTTGTGCAGAAATTGGAATGTTACACGGAAATGGAGGATGACTACACCATTACATAGCTGCCAAACCACTGAGAATCATGGTCCAGCCAACTTGACACATAACCTTAACCATCACAGCCAGCATTACTCTAACCTCAGTGTTAGTTAATGCCAGTCATATATCATTAAATACACAAATTAGTCACAGAGTAGACTATTTACTATTATCGTAAATATGAAACATCAGATAATAAGATAGTCAACAAGTAAGGAGTAGGTGTATTTGTGTGTATTTGTAACACTAAAGAAATGGTGTGAATATTTGAGCGTTTTCACATAAAATGGGAAAACAAAAAGGTTGATTTCTTAGAAATAAAATTTTTGCTAACATGGTTGTACTTATCTTTAAAATATTGCTACTGGAATTAGGTTGTAGTCAACATAATTTTGGGGTGGTAGTCTTGTTATCTGAAAGCATATTTTTCTGACTATACAGATAATTCATTGTTTATTACAGAAAATGAAGAAAACAGAAAAGTGCTGAAATTAAAATGATGCATCTTTATCATAATCAGTGTTATCAGTTTCTATTCTCCGTTGTTTTTGTAGAGATACAGTCTTGTTTCCAATCACAATTGAAGTAGGTTTCTTCCACTGTGTAACTTTTAAAAAATTGTAAATATCATATGTATTTTCCAAAATCATTAAATGTTCCTTCCTAAAATAACTTTAATGATTGCATAATATTCTGTCTTTTGGATTATATATTTGAGATTCCTTAAGGTTTTTGTTTTAGCTTTTATTTTGTAAATAATACTGTAATGAACATCCTTATATATAAATATTTGTAAATGACCGTACAGTAAATTCTTAAAAGTAGAATTCCAGGGTTAGAGAGTGTTTAAAGAATTTGGTGTGTTTTACTCCCTAGTAAGACTGTAAGATTTTACATCCTCACCATGATGTGTGTAGACACCAAGTTCATTGTACTTTTCTCAACTGTGTGCTTTAATTTTATTTTTAATCATTGTTGATGAAATGTATTCAAATGATATTTTATTATTTTTATTTTCATTTTATTTATTGGCTGTTTGGAGAGAGGGGTTAAATATATATCCATGACCATTTTTCCATTGGGATGTTCACCTTTATTTAATGACAAAATGTCACATAAATTATTAACACTTAAATTACTATAATAACATATCTGTACTATGTTAGGAATATAGTGAAAAGAATATGAAACATACCTACATTTTGGTTCTTCAGAAAACACAAAAATGAAATAGTACCCCTTATCTTATCATCATAAAATATTCAAGAGGAAATGATGAGAATATTACTTGTTATGTGCCATGGAGTCGGACCCAACTCATAGCAACCCCTCCTTGGCTTTCCGAGGTAGTATCACTATGGAAGTAGATTGCCCAACCTTCCTTCCAAGGAGTGGCTGGTGGTTATGTATATAAATTATAGGTTGTTCCAGTCTCCATACTTTCAAAGGATCTTTATTGCATGTGTATATTGTGTTGTGGTGTCAATGCTGAGAGTTGCGTATACAATGGTGAACCTAACAGACATGTATCTGCTAACACAAATATTAAATCGAATTGGAGAAACAGATAATAAACAAGTAACATACATATTTTAAGTGGAAACATGAGTGCATATGAGTTAGCCAAGCAGCAAGTGGGGAGAATGAACATTTCAAGCAGAGGATGATACAAAATCCATGAAGCAGGAAAGAATTTGGCAGCTTTGGGGAAAAAATAAAAAGTGTAAAGAACATCGTGAACCAAAGGATGTATTGGCATAGGAAAGGTTTAGAGAGGAAGGAAAGAGCCATATTTGTGGGAATACCACTGAAAGTCAGGCAGAGAAGTTGACTTGGTCTGATTTACATTTGTAGAGCACAAGTCTAGCTTCTGTGTGGCAAGTGGATGGAGGTGAAGAAGAGTGGAAGGAAGGTGGGAAAACAATCACAGTTGCAGCTGACCAGGCAGAATCGATGGTTGCCGAGGCTAGAGCAGCAGCATTGGAGATGGAGGGAAATAGGCAGACTTGGTAGACGTTTGACATAGAAATGATATGGTGACAAAGGGCATGATAGGGAACTGGAAGTTGGAAGAATAAAGAATAACTCCAAGGTTGAGCTATTTGCATGGAAGTGCCACTTAATTTGTTGTTATTATGGGCCGTCAAGTCGGACCCAACTCATAGCGACCCCTCCTTGGGTTTCCGAAGCAGTATCACTACAGAAGTAGATTGCCCCATCTTCCTTCCAATACGTGGCTGGTGGGTTTGAACCACCATCCTTCTGGTTAGCAGTCAAGGGCCTTAGGCACTTAACTAGAAATGGGGAAAACTGGAAGAAATGCAGATTTCAGGGGTAGGGGTAAGATCAAGAGTTTAGTTTGGGATACAGTAAGCTTTAGATGCCTATGACCCATTCTAATAGGATTTCAGATAGGTAGCTGTGATATTTAAATCCAAAAGATGTCTGGGCTGGATATACATATTTTGGAATAATCACAAAATAATATGATGTTCTACTCAAGTGGTCTCATTTGTTTAAAGCATATTTTAAATTAGCCTGTCCATCCTTGTCAAATGTTGCCAATAAATGCATTTACACTTTTTGAAAGGAAGATGTTTTCCTTTCTACATTTACATCCCTTGTATCTCCACTGTTACCTACTGAAATGTGGATTCCAATTGTATGATGTGTTTTGTGCACAGTTTATTCTACTTTTCATTTTGCCCAACCCTAACTATTTTGGGCCTCTTCTGCTGCCTGATACCAATGGAGTAAAGGGAAAAAGAAACAAAATATTTGGCTAAGCATACATATAAATAATTATTTTAAAGATGAACAGATGTATCCAATCATAGTATATAGAGAAAAGTAATTGGAAAACGCATCTTAAGTCCTCATTTCTGTTTTAAGGATTTAAGTCTGGTAAAGTTTACAGTGTTTCCACTTATTTTGCAGTCATGTTTGATTCTTAAGAATAATAGTGAGTGGATTTTTTAATTTCTTGTGACTTATAAGTATTTTGGATTTCTTGTGTCCACTGTAGGTTCATCAGGATTAGGCAGCCCTCTTGGCAGAAGCCGACACAGTAGTAGTCAGTCAGATCTGACCAGTTCCAGCAGCAGTTCTTCTGGCTTGAGCTTCACTGCATGCATGTCTGATTTTTCCCTTTATGTATTTCATCCATATGGAGCAGGAAAACAAAAAACTGCTGTTTCTGCACTCACATCTGGATCAGGAGGATTAGGTATACTGAGCATATTTGTGTCTTTTTCACATTTATTATGTATTTTCAAGCTTTCATCTTTTTAGAAATCATGATGCCTTTAATAATGGATACAAGCCAAGATTAGAAACTTTTTATATTTTCCCTTTTGCAAATATCCATCTCGTCTTTATGGAATAAAGAGGAACATGAAATAAGTAATTCAAGTATATAAACTACGTAAGAAAAAAGGTTTCAAAAAACTTTATAGATGATATGCACAGCACAGTAATCTTACCTGAAGATCAAAGGTTACTTATGTTACTAAATTTTGTAATGTTTTACCAAATAACTATTTGTATAAGAATTTAAACTCTATGAATAAAGTTAAGTGTACAGGTCACATAAATTTGAAATGAGACATTTAGTTTTTAAAATTTAAGAGTAAATTTAAATTAGCATTTAAATTTTAGTTGAACTACTAAAAGTGCATCTTAGTATTACTTGGTGCTGTGGAGTCAGTTCTGACTCATAACAACCCTGCTACCCTACTAGCCAGTCCTGTACCATCCTCATAACCATTGCTGTGTTTGAGTCCATTGTTGCAGCCAGTGTATCAATCTATCTTGTTGAAGATCTTCCTCTTTTTCACTGACCCTCTATTTTACTAAGGAGCTCTGGTAGTATAGTGCCTAAGGCACTTGACTGCTAACCAGAAGGCTGGCGGTTCAAACCCACCGCACACTCCTCGGAAGGAAGGTTGGGCAATCCTACTTCTGTAGTGATACTGCCTCGTAAACCCAAGGAGGGGTCGCTATGAGTCAGGGCTGACTCGACGGCATATAACAACAACAACAACAACTATTTTACTAAGCATGATGTACTTCTCCATGAGCTGGGCCCTCCTCATAACATGTCCTGAGTACACAAGACAGGTTCTCACCATCCTTACTTCCAAGGAGCATTCTCATTGTATTATTCCAAGAGATTTTTTCCATTAGTCTGGCAGTTCATGGTGTATGTTCAGTATTCTTTGCCAACATTATAAGGCAAAGGCATCAATTCTTCTTCAGTCTTTCTTGTTCATTGTCCAGCTTTCACAAGCACATGAGGCAATTGAAGATACCTTGGCTTGGGTCAGTCATACCTTAGTCCTCAAGGTGACATCTTTGCCTTCTAACAATTCAAAGAAGCCTTTTGCAGCATATTTGCCCAATGCAATACATCATTTGATTTCTTGACTGCCATTTCTGTTAGTGTTGATCATGGATCCATGTAAAATGAAATCCTTGACACCTACAGTCTTTCTTCCATTTATTGTGATGTTGCTTGTTAGTCCAGTTGTGAAGATTTTTGTTCTCTTTATGTTAAGGTGTAATCCATACTGAAGCCTATAGTCTTTGATCTTCATCAGTAAGTACTTCAAGTCCTCTTTGCTTTTAGCAAGCAAGGTTGTATCATCTGCATATGGCAGGTTGTTAATGAGCCTTTCTCCAATCTTTCTTTATGTATTCTAGCTCTTGGATTATTTGCTCAGCGTACAGATTGAGTATCTGTGGTGGAAGAATACAACCTGACGCACACCTTTCCTTATTTTAAACCAAGCAGTATACCCTTGTTCTGTTCATCTGCCTTTTGTACAGGTTCTGCATGAGCACAATTAAGTTTAAGTGTTCTGGAATTATGGTTCTTTGCAGTGTTATCCATAATTTATTTTAATCTACACAGTTGTTATCCATAATTTGTTTTAATCTACACAGTTGAGTACCTTTGCATAATCAATAAATCACAGGTAAACCTCTTTCTGGTATTCTGTGCTTTCAGCCAAGATCAATCTGACATCAGCAATGATTTCCCTTGTTCCACGGTCTCTACTGAATCCAGCTTGAATTTCTGGTTAATGTTTTGGTGCAACTGTTTCATTATCTTCAGTAAAACTTTAATTATGTGTGATATTAATGATACTGTTTGATCACCTTTCTTTTGAATGAGCACAAATATGGATTGCTTCCACTTGGTTGGCCAGGAAGCTGTCTTCCAAATTTCTTGACATAGATGAATGAGCACTTTTAGTGTTGCATCTGTTTGTTGAAACATCTCAATTGGTATTCCATCAATTCCTGGAGCCTTGTATTTTGCCAATGCCTTCTCTGCTGCTTGGACTTCTTCCTTTTGTACCACTTGTTCTTGGTCATATGTTACCTCCTAAAATGGTTGAATGTTGACAAAATTCTTATCGGTACAAAGACTGCATATTCCTTTTATCTTCTTTTGATACTTCCTACATCATTCAGTATTTTGCCCATAGATTCCTTCAATATTGCGACTTGAGGCTTGAATTTTTTCTTCATTTCTTTCAGCTTCGGACACACTGAGCGTGTTCTTCCACTTTCATTTTCCAACTGCAAGTCTTTGGACATTTCATTGTAATACTTTACTTTGTCTTCTTGAGCTTCTCTTTAAAATCTTCTGTTCAGTTATTTCACCATTGCTTTCACTTGCTTTAGCTACTCTACTTTCAAGAGCAAGGTTCAGAGTCTCTACTGACATCCATTTTGATCTTTTCTTTCTTCCCTGTCTTTTTAATCACCTTTTTATTTCTTCATGTATGATGTTTTTGATGTCTTCCCACAACTCATCTGGTCTTTGGTCATTAGTGTTCAGTGCATCAGACTTATTCTTGAGATGGTCTCTAAATTCAGGTGGAATATATTCAAGGTGGTGCTTTAGCTCTGGTGGACTTGTGATTTCCTTCAGCTTCAGCTTGAAATTGCATATGAGCAATTGATGGCTTGTTCTGAAGTTGGCCCCAGCCTTGTTCTGACTGATATTGAACTTCTCCATTTTCTCTTTCCACAGATGTAGTCAGTTTGATTTCTCTTTATTCCATCTGACAAGTTCAAGTTGTACTGGTTCTATTTATGTTGTTGAAAAAGTATTTCCAGTGAATAGGTCATTGGTCTTTCAGAATTCTACCATGTGATCTCAGCTTCATTTCTATCACCAAGGCCTTATTTTCCAACTACTGATCCTTCTTCTCTGTTTCCAGCTTTAACAGTCCAATCCAAATATGGCCAGTAATTATCACTGCATCTTGATAACGTATTTGCCTAATTTCAGACTGCAGAACATGGTAAAGATCTTCAATTTCTTCATCTTTGATGTTAGTATTTGGCACATAAATTTGAATAATAGTCTATGCTAAGTGGTCTTTCTTGTAGGCATATGGATATTATCCTATCACCAACAGCATTGTACTTCAGGTTAGATCTTGAAATGTTCTGTCAATAAAAGTGATGCCATTCCTCTTCAGTTTGTCATTCCTGGCATAGTAGACCACAGGATTGTTTGATTCAAAATTAGAAGAAAAAGCTGCAAAACACCTATCAATAATTGGAACGTGGAATTTACAAAATATGAACCTAGGAAAATTGGAAATCACCAAAAAATAAAATGGAACACTTATAGATAGATACCCTAGGCAGTAGTGAGCTGAAATGGACTGATATTTGCCATTTTGAATCAGATTAAATAGTACATAAGATCTTGATATTACTAAATGTCTCTTGTCTAATAATTAGATAAATTATGAAGACACCTACTGCATCTCAATTCTAGTTTTTATCTTTGGGTGATGGTTGTAGTATTATGTTTATGATATTGAACCTATTCAGGTATTGTTAGGAACTCTAGTAGTCATTAGATTCTGCTTGAATTTAATTGATGGCATCTTTTGGGTAATTTTCATCTAATTACATAGTTTTGTGTAAGTAGCTATATGTGTATGTACCTCTATGTGGATTTTTTGTTTGTTTGTTTTAAAGGGAATGTGGATGAGGAACCCACTTCAGTCACTGGTCGGAAAGACTCCCTCAGTATAAACCTTGAATTTGTAAAAGTGAGTTTGTCTCGGATAAGACGTTCAGGAGGTGCCTCATTTTTTGAAAGCCAGTCTGTAAGCAAGTCTGCAAGCAAAATGGACACTACATTAATAAATATATCTGGTATTCAATTTTACAGTTTTGAAATCAAAATGTTGTTTTCTGTAACTCAGTGATGGCTTCCCTTTTGCATTTTTTACATATTAAATGCAGTTAATATGTTAAGCTTTTGATGATAAGTTGATTTTTTCAAAGGAGAAGTATGGGTCAATATGATCAATGTTTGAAATATTTATCACCCAAGGGCCAGAATAGTCCTAATTAAATCACTGAAATGTACTTCTTAACTACTACTCTACTCTGACTTGGTAAAATGTCTGCTATTTGCTAGTTTTTCTCTTTTTTTTTTTGATTTAAAGTCATGAAACACTAAAGGAAGATGAGTAATGTTACTTAAAAAAAATTACACTTGGTGTCAGAAGATCTTAAGTTGTGTATTTTAATTCTAGCTTTAAACCTAGCTGTATGACTGCACAGATCACTTACTTAATTTTCTTTATATTGTGACATATTTAAAATCAAATGCATGAGAAATATTTTTAAGAATTCAGAGTACTATGTGAGTATAAACTTTGATTATTATTAATTGCAGAGACATTGTGTGTGTATGTGTATATATATATAATCAAGCAGTATTCATTTAGCAAGCATATTGAGTCTATATTTTATAGTGACATTGTGCCAGAAGTTGTAGTAGGCATTTGAGGAGAACAAGCATGAATAAAACAAGGTTTTATGTGTAGACAAATGGTAATGCAATGTGGTAAATGCTATCATAGAGATTTATAATAGAGGAAGAAACAATAAATGCTGTCTTACCTGGGAGCTCTGAGAAGCTTTCACAAGGAAATGACACTTGAGCTAGATTTTGAAAATTGAGTAAAATATTTTTGGCTATAGCAACATGGTATTCAGTGGCACAGAAGCATCAAAAACTATGCTTTTAAAACATAGTTTTTGTTCATTATGGCTGAAACATAACTGAACATTTAATTAGTTGTACAAAGTTGGTCAGGATAGAGGGAGAGAGGCGACTTAGAGTAAAGCTGGTAAAATAGATCAGTTCCAGATCGTGGGGGTCTTGTATCCCCATATCCCCAAGCTAAAGAATTGGATTCTGTACCTTTGGGCGATGAGAAGACATTGGAGGCTTTTAAGAAGTAGAATAATGTTTTCAGATTGTTTTCTTTTGTAGAAAGAAAGCTGATAGTAGCATGAAAGATGGGAGACAAAAATGTTTGAGGTTACTGAAGTATACCAAGCAATAGGGGAAGAAAGCCTGAACTGTGACAGTAAAAAAGAAGAAAAGATGGTTTCTAGAGAGATGTAAAAGAATCCATAAGCTTGAGAATAAGCTGTGGGAAGGGTAGGAGAGGAAACAAAATTGCTTCAAACTTTTGGCTTAGATAAATGAGGGGGCAGTGATACCATTAACTTAGAAAATAAAGATGAAGGTGTCTATAGGCCATTTAGGTAGAAGGGCAATTGACTGATGGGTTGTGTGGGTCTGAGCTCAGGCTGAAACAGAAACTTTGGATGTGAGAGTCATTGGCAAGTAAATTCTACGGAAATAATGGCAGAGGAGTAGAAGGACACAAAAAGCAGAAACAGAAGTGCTCATAGCAGAACCCTTCAGACTGATGAGTCACTGCTCTTTGTCTGAGAGGAAAATAGCAGTCCTTGCCATATAGCTGTTTAGTTTGTAACTACTTTTGAGGAAATATATATCCTAGCTCATCTGGATGATTTGTTTTCCTTGTTTGAGAAAAGCCCCATGTTAAAGTTAAAAGCTGGCTATAAGACAGATCTTTAAAACCTCTCTGGGAATTTCTCAATAAAGTGGTAATAGAATTCCAGCCAGACCACATCTCAAGAAAGGAAATGGGATTAATAGTGTTAGAATGTGCTAGTTCTATAATTTATGGATGAAATTATTATTACTTGCCAACTATAATATGTAACTTACTTTGATATTTCATGAATTGTAACATAATTATAATCCAGCTATATAATATAATGTTGTCTTATACTTACTTTGTGAGAATATTAAGGTTTTGTAAGTTTGTTCCAAATTTTTAAAAAAAAAAATCTTATTTTTATCTATCAGCTGTTTGTGATATAGGGTCTGCCTCTTTTAAATACGATATGCGCCGACTCAGTGAAATTCTAGCATTTCCAAGAGCTTGGTATAGGAGAAGTATTGCAAGACGCCTTTTCCTCGGAGACCAAACCATAAATCTGCCAAGTAAGTTTATCATGTAATTAGGTTGCATTACTTTTAGTTATAATAGTAATAAGATTGATAACACAGACTTTTTCTTACTTGGTAAGAGGTACCAAGAATCTTGGTAAGATTCACTCAACAAATGTCTGTTGACTTCTCTAATGTGCTAGAAGGAGCCCTGGTAGCACAGCAGTTAAGTGGTCAGCTGCTAACTTGAAGAAGGGTGGTTTGAACCTACCAGCCACTCTGTAGGCTAGCGATCTGCTGTTGTAAAAATTTCAGACTAGGAATACCTATGGGGCAATTCTACTCAGTCCTGTAGGGTCACTATGAGTCAGAATCAACGGTAAACAACAAATGTGCTGGGGATACATTTTTTGTTGTTGTTACGTGTCGTCAAGTCAGACCTGACTCATAGCTACCCCTCCTTGGGTTTCCGAGGAGTGGCTGGTGGGTTTGAACTGCCAGCCTTCTGGTTAGCAGTCCAGTGCCTTAGGCACTATGCTACCAAAGCACTGAGCTTATCATAGAACCAAATAGATGAAAACCTTCCCTTCTTGGGGCTTACATTCTAGCTGGCATTTTATTCTATAAACACTACTCTGTACTCTTGTAAAATCTGAAAATGCAGAAATACATTTAGCTAACCATGTTAATCATACTTAAGGGTGGAAAAGAGAAAATGTTGGAGTATGCTACCAACTTGCCTGTATCTGCACTTAGATGTCATTGTAGTATTGTGCACAGGAAGAGAGTTTTGGAATCACAGGTAGAATCAGTGTAATTCAGGAGAAAATATTAGAAAATCTGCGTCCAGTGCCTCATCTGTAAAATAGGAATAGAGTATCTGTCCTGCCTGTCTCATGGAGTTTCTTTGAGAAGTAAATAAAATACCATGCCAGAATGCACTTTGAAAGCTGTAAATCTCTGTATAGTTACCAAATAGAGTACTACAAGGAACTTGTGATGTGATTAGAAAAGGTGGATGAATAAACTTTTTTTTTTTAATCAAAAAGATGATTTTTATGCTCTTCATTTGACTTTATTTTGCTTGTTCTTTCTCCTTTTCTGCTAGCTTCTGGTCCAGGAACACCTGATTCCATTGAAGGGGTAAGCCAGCACCTTTCCCCTGAGTCATCAAGAAAAGCTTACTGCAGAACCTGGGAGCAGCCCAGTCAGTCAGCCTCCTTCAACCACATGCCTCAGTCACCTAATGTGTTCAATGAACATATAACAAACAGCACCATGTCGCCAGGGACAGCAGCACAGAGCCTAAAATCCCCAGCTTCCATAAGATCAAGGAGTGTGTCTGATTCTTCTGTTCCCCGAAGAGGTAACATTGTTCTTTTTGTTATTAATAATCTACCGATGCCCCAAGATACAAATTCAATGCAGTTACTCCCAGATTTCAGCTCCAAGGGCAGGGAGGTAGTATTTACAGGTTTTTATGATAGATCATAAAAAATTTAAAACTTTAAGATATTGCCAGCAAAAGAAGCAGCTAGATGGCTGGTAGCTTTGAAAGGGGATTAAGAGAGAGGAATAAACATCTTGTTAGTGTGCTCCATACAGTAAGGCTATTTTTAGAAAGAAAACAAACCCACAGTATTTGTGCAAGTCCCAAAAGATGCTTTCATTTTGAGAAAGTTGACCTTTGTATTCCTTCAGTGATTATTTTATATCCAGCTAATGTCAGGCAATGTGCAGGTGCCTGAACAGGTAAAACATAATGACAGAGTTTTTGTTATAAAGTAAGATTAGAGTATAATGAGCAAATGAAGGATTCAAATTATATACTGGCTTCATAAGAACAAAGAAGACAGGTACCCTAACCAGCCTCGAGGCCCTCAACTTCAAGCCCTTGATTTGGTACCTTATGACTGTCTGATTTGATGAGAAAATCCCAGAGTGATGACTTTATCTGTGCTGGTATGTCCTGTGTACCACAGTATTTCTTCATGTAAAGTGGAAGTTACATAGAACTTCATGAGCTTTCAGGAAGTAAGGTTACCAGAACTTACTAAGCATTCAGTAAATGGTAACTATTATTTTAAATGCAATATACTCCAAGAAAAACTCACTGCCACCAAGTTGATTCCAACTCATAGCAATCCCCTTTGGGTTTCTGAGGTGCTAAATCTTTACAAAAGTAGATTGCCCAGTCTTCCTTCTGCAGAGTGGCTGGTGGGTTTGAAATACCAACCTTCTGGTTAGCAGTCAAATGCCTTAGGCACTACTCTACCAGATAGCAACTATTAAATGTAAGGTTAAAATATAAGAATATCCTATTTTTACTTTTTTCATTATAGTGATGTGGGCGTTTTGCTTTATAATTGGCTGGGCATATTTGCAAATGATTATTTATTTGATTTTTCTATTTTTAGATTCACTTTCAAAAACATCAACTCCTTTTAACAAATCAAACAAAGCAGCAAGCCAACAAGGGACTCCATGGGAAACACTTGTCGTGTTTGCCATCAACTTGAAGCAATTAAACGTTCAAATGAATATGAGTAATGTAATGGGAAATACAAAGTAAGTTATTCATGTGCAAAGAAAAAATATTTAATCATCAGTTGTAATTTTTGGATATTGTACAATATCAATTCAAAACCTTTTTTATGCTGAATTATTTGAGACAATGCAATAGATAAAATATATAAATTATTTTATCCTAAAAATGGCTTAATCCCATGAATATTGTAATATGAAACAGTATATATTTCCTTCTGGAAAGAAGAATAATTATAAGGAAAACAGTAATTTTCTAGATAGGAAGAAAGCTACTTCATTAACGTTAATGTTCAAACATTTACCACATATTGTAAGCAATGTGTTATGTCTCTGTCAAACTTGACCTTTTATTTAAATCATCTGTTTTAATTCAGAACATTGGAAGCCATATATCTAATTAATAAATCTTTTTCCTTTCATTAGTTGGACAACTAGTGGTTTGAAGAGCCAAGGCCGCCTGTCAGTAGGAAGTAATCGAGATCGAGAGATTAGCATGTCTGTTGGTCTGGGAAGATCACAGTTAGATTCTAAAGGAGGCGTAGTTGGAGGGACCATAGATGTCAATGCTTTGGAGATGGTTGGTATGTTGAAATTATAAAACTTATCTATTGTATATTCAAATAATATTGAGAAAAGGGTTTTAATTGATTTTTATGAGTTTTCCCATTAGGCATTTCTGTGAAAAGTAATTATTGTTTCTGTTTTAGCTCATATTTCTGAACATCCAAATCAGCAACCCAGTCACAAAATTCAGATTACTATGGGATCTACTGAAGCCCGAGTTGATTACATGGGCTCAAGTATCCTTATGGGAATCTTCAGTAACGCTGATCTTAAGCTTCAGGATGAATGGAAAGTAAACCTGTATAATGCATTGGATTCAAGCATGACTGATAAAAGGTATTAAATAAAACATTGCTTTTGAACACTTTACATGGCTGATCTTAACATACGTTCTGTCATTCTTTGAGAAAAATTCATTTTTCCTGCAAAATGATTTTCTATTATGCATTTAATATGAATGAAAAAGCTGGGTAGGAAAGAAAAGTATTTTTATACTTTCAACTATCTGTAAGAAATACAATACTCTGTTTTGTACTCTAGTGAAATCTTTGTCCATGGAGATCTGAAGTGGGATATTTTCCAAGTAATGATATCAAGATCTACCACACCAGACCTGATAAAAATAGGAATGAAGCTCCAGGAATTTTTCACACAGCAGTTTGACACCAGCAAACGAGCCCTGTCTACTTGGGGACCAGTTCCTTATCTTCCACCTAAAACAATGACTAACAACCTAGAGAAAAGTTCACAAGAACAATGTAAGCATTAGAACTAAGTCTTTCTATATATGCTTTATCTTTCAACAAATATGTGTTACAACTTTAATAAAAAGTAATAGTTAATAATACTGATCTGTATACCTTACAATATAGTCCCATTTCCTTCCTCTCTTTACTCAGCTTAGAACTTGTCTGCCAGTAGAAATAGAGGCCATTATTTGGGAAGTCATCATTCATTATCCTCTCTCCCTGCCACCAACTAACTCATCTGCAACCATACCTGTTCCATTCTCTTGAACACTAATTACGACAATGTCATGTTCTAGTAAAGTTACAAGCATGTGCTTAGGCACTGTTTCAGGTGCAGGAGAAATGGTGGTGGACAAAGTCCCTACACTCAAGACTTTGCCTTCTAATGGAAGAGACAGACATAACTAACTCATTAACTAAAGATATAAGATTATTTGAGGTGGAGAGAAGTGCTAAAAAAAAAAAAAAAAAAATGAAAAAAGCAGGGGAAGCAGAAAGAGTATGAAGGCAGCTACTTTAGATAGAGTGATCAGGGAAAACTTTAATGAAGTGATATTTTAGTGGAAATATGAATAAAGTGAAAGAACTAGGTTAAGATCTGGAGGAATATAGTTTTAGGCATTAGGCCACTGAGGGATGCCAAGCTGCTGCGGTGGGAACAAATTGGGCTTGTCTGAGGAACATGGCAGTGGCCACTGTGGCTGGGGCAGAGTAAGCAGAGAGAAAAGGATTGGACATGAATTCAGAGATGGAAGCCACAGATCAGATTTTTAATACAATGGATAGCTATTGGAGAGTTGTGAACAGAGTTAACATCATTTGATTTACTTTTTCTTAAAATACCCTTTTAAAGCATCATTTGTCATTGTGTGGAGAGTAGACAATAGGAGAATAAGATTGGAATGGAAGTAAGGAGACCATGAAGAAGCCACTGCAGTAGTTATAGGCACGAAATAACATTGGCTTTGTAGGCTGAATAGAGGTAAAAGTGGTGAAAAGTAGTCAGAATCAGGATAAATTTTAATAACTTCTTATCTCAAAAGTATGGCGTATGCACTGAAAAAAACTAGAAAATACAAGCAAAAAAAAATCATATTTCACCCACCAGAAATCACCACTGTAAATATTTTAGAGGTATCTTTCCAAATATTTTTCTACAGACTGATATACATATATTTTGCCAAAATATTGTTCATCATTTTGTAACTTTTTTCTAACTGACAGTATCCAGCTTTCCATTTTGCTAATTATTTATTTCCTGTAATACTCTGATCACATTTTCACAACTGATCCAAAAATATCCTTTACGACTAGTTTGTCCATACTGGTATCCGATCCAAGATCCCAGGTTAAATCTGATTACATTCCTTCACTCTCCTTTGAGTGGAGTCCCTTTTCTTCATGATTTAACTTGTTGACAAGACCTAGCCACTTTTCCCACAAAATGTCTTACCTTCTAGAATTTTTTCAGTTATTTCTCTTATTTGTTTTATTTGTCTTGTTCTTCTGTTGTTGTTTGGGTGCCATCAGTTCGGTTCCAACTGATAACAGCCCTGTGTACAACAGAACAAAAAACTACCCAGTCCTGCACCATCCTCACAATTACCACTATGTTTGAGCCCATTGTTGCAGCCACTATGTCAGTCTGTCTCAAAGGGTCCTCCTCTTTTTCACTGACCCTCTACTTTACCAAGCATGATGTCCTTCTCTAAGGACTGGTCCCTTCTGATAACATGTCCAAATTATGTGAGACAAAGTCTCACCAACATCGCTTCCAAAGAAGCATTCTGACTCTACTTCCAAGACAGATTTGTTCACTCTTCTGGCAATCTGTGGTATATTCAGTATTCCTCACCACCACTATAATCCAAAGGCATCAATTTTTTTTTTTTCTTCCTTATTCATTGTCCAGCTTTTGCATCCCCATGAGGCAACTTAAAATGCCATTGCTTGGTCAGGTATACCTTAGGCTGCAAGGTGACATCTTTGGTTTTTAACACTTTAAGAAGTCTTTTGCAGTAGATTTGCCCAATGCAATACATTTTTTTTTTTCCTGTTCCTCAGTCCCTGTATTTCCTTTAAACTGGAATTTGTATCAGGCATATACAAATTGGGGGATATTCTGCAAAACACTTGGACTGGATGCTTCAAAAAGTCCTTGTCTTAAAAACAAACAGGCTTAGGAAATTGTTTTTGATTAAAGCAAACTAAAGAGATGTGCCACTTAAATACAGTGCATGATTCTTGATTGGATCCAGGATGAAAGTTGTAAAAAACAGTCAAAAGAACATTATTGGAATAGGTAGAGAAATATAAATATGAATTCTGTATTGATCAGTGCTTGTCAAACTTTAAGAATACTACAAA